GTTCCCGCCGCGCGTTCCCGCCGCGCGTTCCCGCCGCGCGTTCCCGCCGCGCGTTCCCGCCGCGCGTTCCCGCCGCGCGTTCCCGCCTCCTGAGTCCCGGAGTAATCGACGTTGGTTGTAGGTCCAGCTCCGGGCTCTCTGCTCTGCCCGGGGGCCGTGTGTCTGTCCTGTGCCGGCACCACCGCTGCGATGACGGGGGCCCTGGTAGGACCTGGAATCCGGAGCTGTCGGAACTTCGATCTGGACTTTCTTTTCCCAGATTGCTCTGGCTCCTCGGTCTTCTGCGGTTCCCCACAGATTTGAGGATTTCGTTCTGTGGAAAACGCTCTTGGCACTTTGACGGGGCGGCCTTGAGCCGGGGTGCGCTTTGGGCGGTACAGACATTTCTAAGTCTTTGTGTGAGCTTGTGTTCACTTGCGGGAGAGCGGGCGCGGGGCCCGGCGCGGGGCTGCGCCTGGCGACCCGGAGACCACGGCCTGAGCCGAAGCCGAGGGCTGGACGCTTGACGGGCGGTGCCCCAGACGCCCCGAGCACCGACGTTTTCGCCGCAGTCGTCCCCGGTCGATGAGCACCGAGTCCTTTTCCGCTTGTCGGCGCCGCTGCGGTCTCTTCCGTCAGTACCGTTTTCGGAGAACGGGCCCTTCGCCTCCTTTGTTGACTTTATTCCTGGGTATTTTATTGTTTCTGGTGCAGCTGTAAACGGGGTTTGGGGGGGGTGGCTTTCTCAGTTTCTCCACCCGAGGCTTCATCCGCGGCCTGTAGCGGTGCTGCGCTTTCCGACGTCTCGCGTCCTGCCCCGCCCCCGAGGCCTCCCGTCGGTTCTGCAGTTTCCTGGTGGTCTTTAGGGTGTTGTGTGTAGTGTCGTGCCATCCGGAAACACCGAATGTCTTACGTCTTCCTTTTCAATTTGGGTGGCATTTATTGCTTTTTTCCTGATTGCTCATGGCTGGGGACTTCCAGGACTATGTCAAATGAAAGTGGGGAGAGTGGACCCCCCCGCCCGTCCTGTTCCCGAGCTCGGGGGCAGCCTCTCACCTTTCCACCAGCGGATGTTGTGTCAGCCGCGGTTCTTATACGTGGCCTTAGTCATGCTGGGGTGTGTTCCTGTAAGCGTACTTTGTTCGAAGGGTTTTTATCATGGAAAAAAGAACGTTGTACGTCGTCGAATGTTTGTTGTGCATCTGTCGAAATGCTGTGGTTCTCCTCTCACTGATGTAGCGCACTGACCCATTCGCAGATGCCACCCTGCGTCCCGGGAACGCAGCCCGCGCTCTCGGTGCTGCGGGGCAGCCGCACCGCTGAGCTCGGAGAGGCCGCAGGGAGCCGGGCTGGGCTGACCTCCGCTGGGTCCTGCACTTGCTGGCAGGAGCGAGTCTGTCTTCCTTAGTAGGGCCACAGGGGCTATTCCTGACACTTTTCTGTTTGCAGATGAACGTGAAGGTTTTGGAATTCTGAGTCCAGCACTGGTTACTGGGTGACCTCTGGGAAGTCGCTGACACTCGATTTTCATTTCTATGAAATGGAAGTAGTAACATCGGGGCTGTCACGAGGTTATCTAACGAGCTAGAGGACGGGGCGAGCGACATCACCTGTGTTGCTGCAGTTCCTCACCTAGGAGATCGGGTTTGGGCGCCTGCGTGCCTCAGTGGGCTAAGCCTCTGCCTTCGGCTCAGGTTATGATCTCAGGGTCCTGGGATCGAGCCCTGCTCGGCGGGGAGCCTGCTTCCTCCCCCTCCGCCCCTGCCTACTTGTGATTTCTCTGTCAAATAAATAAACAAAATCTTAAAAAAAAGAGTCGGGTTTGGGTACCTTCCTGAAAGGGCTGTTGTGAATATGAGTGTATGAGTATTATGGAAGCTGCTTACTATGGCAACGGTGGGACACAGCGGCCTGCAGTCACTGTCCCCAAGCCTGGGGCCGGCTCGTGAGTACGAGCGGGTGCGTGCGTGCGTGCGTGTGCGCGTGTGTATGTGTGTGCGCGCGGCCGCAGGCGCGGTGACTAGTGTGCGGGGCGGTTGGCTTAGGGCTGACTGGCGGCGCGGTGGTAAAAAGACCTGTCTGGAAACAGGATGGAGGAAGGAGATCCTGGAAGAGAAGTGGAGGACAGGGACGGGGGGAAAAACCAGCAGGCTCACCACTCTGTTGTTAGGAAAAGTTTTTCCATTTAATACTAGACTTTCAAGGATTGAGATGCAAGCTTTTTATGCAATTACATCCAATGTTAAAATCGGTAATACATAATTTACAAAGATTAACATCAAAACAATCATCTATTTAGATATGCTTTTGTAAAAAGGAAATATATTAGCAGCATTTATGTTTTCCGCAATCACACAGCCTACAGACATGCAGACTAACTGTATCTATTCGCAGTGGTGTAGTGCCTTGCCCCGCGCTGCAAACACCGAAACCCACCCAGCAGCTGGGGGGTTCTTTTTATTTCATTATTATAAAATAACCGAAAAATAAAAAAAGGCATTAATTTCTACACCAGTAAGAAAAAACAAGTTTTTGCACTTACCTAACATTTGATTGTCTAAAAAACATTTCAGTTTTTAGTCTTTCAACAAAAGAAAGATAAAATGACAGAGCGTAGTGTCTTTTGCTTCTGTTCTCACATTTTACAAAGTTTTTTTCTTTTTTTGTCTTTTTTAAAATTTTAGTGTTTAACACTATTCAAGGAAATATTGAATTTTAATCTCTTTCTTGTCATTTTCCTGCTTTTTGACTAAAGGAGACCCCCAAAGTGCCCCTATTTCCCACCTCCCTCCCCCCCAGCTCCCTGCAATGAAACCCAAAGGAAACCACTTAAACGGGCGTGGCATGCGACGGTTCCGGCTCCGCACGTGAGTATCTCATACCCAGGTCTCGTCGTAATGTACAGTGCTTCTCTACAGTAAGAAAATACTCCAAACTATTTTCTTAATTCTCTTTTTTCTTTAATAAAATATTTATTCTGCTTTTTCTCTGCTTGAGGGGATCTTTGGCATCCCCTGCCTCTTTTGTTTGTTTTTCTTCCCTCAAGATCGACACAGAAAGGAGAAAAAGAAACAAAGATTCAATGGAATGGAAGGTGTCCGTGTTTCTACCTAAACAAGTCGGAGCGTCGGCATCACGGGGAAATGTACAGTGAGGACAGCGTTGGTCCGGGTTTCGAGAATGGTGGGGCCGTGCGTCCTACTCTACTGCTCCCGAGTCACGCAGCAGACACACACACATCCATACGGACATATATACACACACAACTTGGCACATTTAAAATCCATCTTTTCTCTTATAAGAACATCTAAAACGTATATGCATATGTATGTCTGAGAAGACAACAAAGCAAAGCTTTTTAAATTTTATTTTTAAAGAGACAGTATTGTCTGGTAACTTCTGGCCAAGAGAAGGGGAAGGAAGGAGACATCATGATGTCCCTCCTGCTGCCGTCACCAGGGGGTGGAGGACATGGGACGTGGGGGGCGAGCCCTGTCTCTAAGAGCGGGACACTGAAAACCGTGTAACGGAGAAAACGAGAGTAGTGTTCTGAGCTGATGCTGCACACTCACGACAGACACTCTGACCGGCGGTCTGTGTAGTGACTCGGGGGAGGCTGGGGGTCGCTTCTACGGAGGCTCTACAGTGAGTCTGTTCTGAGACGCGTCTCCGTCCCTGGGGCCCGGCAGACACACGCGGCCACAGCACGGGCGTGGCCGCGGCCGGTACCCCAGGGGCCTGGCCTTCTTATGAGAAAAAACCAGGTCTGGCAGGTTATGAAGGTTAAAACAAAAACACGACTGCAAGTCCTGTGCCCTCTGACCCCATGGGGGCCTTCCCTGACCCACGATTACATTCCGGGGGGAGAGGCAGGGAGAAGGGCGGAGGGTGCAAGTGCTTGGACTCGGCAGTTCGCGTTTTACTCTGACCTGACTGGGCAAGAAAGGAGAAACTCTCCCCGGCGAGGATCTGTCTGGAAAGAGGCCCCAGCTGCCGCTTCCGTCTGAGGTCTCTGGGGGTAGCTCTTGGAGCCCGCAGAGAAGAGGCGGGGGTGGGGTGGGGTGGGGTGGGGGGTCCCCTCCCGCTGGACGGGGCGGGACCCCTGGGCGGAGGAAGCAGCTCCGCCGCAGGGCCCGGGGGATCGGAGGTGACACAGAAAGACCCAGCCTGGGGGCAGGGGCGAGTGTTATCAAGTTCCACGAGGCTCCCGCCACCCCCGTGTGCCCGGTCCTCCTCCCGTCACGAACCCGCTGCGGGAGGCGGTGGAGAGGAGCCCGAGGCCGAGCGCGCTGTTGAGACAGACCCCTTCCTCTGCGCTGGCTCCACGGTGTGTGAAGTACCTAATGCGGGCGACACGGCCCCGCCCGCCCCGCCCGCGCTCCGAGGCCGAGGCAGGACCGCGCGCTCCAGCGACGGCGGACGCTCGAGCCGCTGCGCCGCTCACTTCCGAAAGCTGTTTTCCGGGATGAACAAAGTGCGTCTCCGCAGCTTCCGGCCCGAGCCCTCCTCCAGCAGGTAGGTCACGTCGATGGCTGCAGACGGAAGCAGGGAGGCTCAGCGACCACCCCTCCCGCTCCTCGTTCCAGGTCTAGCTCTAAGGAGGTCACAGGAGTCCCGTGACTCCTGTTCCCACCTCTGGGCACCTCGGGCCTTCCTCCAGCCTCAGGAGAGAAGGCTCCCGGGCGCGGGGCGCGGGGCTCTCGTCACGCAGTCCCCCTCCCGGGATGCAACCGCGCCCCGGGGCCCACCAGAGAACCAGGACGTTTTCGCAGGACGCTTCCCGTCCTGGGCAAGGAGTGGCAAGTTGTTCTTTTTCCTTCCTTCCTTCCTAAGCTCCCCTTTATCTTAAACCTGGGGCACGAGCCCGATTCTGTCTTACCATTTTTCCCAGGGATTTTTTCAAGGAGACCGAGTAAGATCTGGTTGAGGCGTTCCCGCTGGCTGTGCCTTCGCTCCTCAGGGGTACACGCCGGCTGGGGGTCCTGCCCACTCTCCTCTGGCTTCTTGGCCCCCTCGCTGATTTCCGCAGCGGCCCCCTCCCGCTCTGGCTCCTCCAGGCCGGGCATCTCGTTGGCGGCTTGCTCCTGGCTGGCCAGAACCTCTTCAATCAAGGGCAGAGCGTCATCCTCCTGGCCCAGGTCTTTCAGGGGGGGCTTTGGGCGCTCGGACTTCCAGGACGACCTGCCAGAGGGATGTGGTAATTTTGACTAAGGCCGTGCAGGGGAGGGGACGGGGGAGGAGGGGAGGGGCCTCCGGCTGGAGATCCCAAGCGAGTTCTTAGAAGCCTCCGCTCTGGCCATCACTGTATCACTATTTGCACAAATCACGACCTTTTCCTGAAATCTACTTTCTAATTATAAAACTAAATTTTCCGTCCTTCAGGGAAGCATGCGCCACCGCGGAGCTGGTCAAACCACCAGCTGGCAGAGATGTGTGACGCGACCCTGTGACGCCTGCAGTCCCACCACAGGGACAATCCGCATGGGGCGTCCGCCTTTCCCGACTGTCCGCACGGCCCCATCCACCGCCTAAGGAAACAGAAGGAAACGGAAGGAAACGGAACGAAACCGAAGGAAAGCCTTCACTGCTCCTTCTCCGAGAACAAGACTCTCCGGTCAAAACCAGCACCAGTGGAAGCTCTGCCGCCACCACGCTCGGTGACACTCTGCCCTGAGCAGCTACGGGACGGCAGGTCCTCAACGGAGGCCCTGAGAACGGACACGCCTCGAGGTGATGGGAAAAGCTTACAGAAACCTTAGGAAAGGAGACACCTCTGCACCGGTCTAGAGTTCCGTTTCAGAGCTTTCTTGTCCTGTTTCTGCTCCCTGCGAGTCTTCTTCCCCCGCCCCCGACTAAAGCTCCATCGAGGCCCGGGCCTCCGATACTCAGGGCTTCCGAGCCGCTGCCGGCTCCACAGGCCGCTGTCAGAGTCCCCAGTTCTCGGGGGGCCGGGTGTTCGGTGCTGCTGCCCCTGCTCCACTCAAGTCGCCAGCCACCCCCTCTAAAAGGGCTCCCCCCGCACCCCCCGCGCACTCACCGCCCTCCGTTCCTCTTGTAGTTGTCTGGGACATAATGAGGCTGCAAAGAAAGGGAAGGCGTTGAGTTTGCGGTGGAAACTGGCTCAGGGGAGCTGGGAGACGGGACGGGGAGGGAAACGAAGGAAGGCAAACACAGGGCAAAGCCCTTCCGAGCTGGGTGGCTGTGTTTTAAGGGCGGAAGGTCCGTCCTTCTGTCAGTCTGTAAGGCCACAGTGGTTTCGGTGTCTTGTACGCCTGTGACGATGGTAAAGGGGGACAGGCTCCCAGTCCGGTCCGCCCCATCCTAGCGCCTGAGTAGTTCAGGCTGGGGCTTCAAGGCTGACCTGAGAGCTGTTGCCCAAGCGAGCAAGACCAAAGAAGTCCAGAGCAGAGGCAGGGCTTGGTGGTAGGTGGGGAGAATATAAAGTAAGTACTGTTTAGAGAAATCCAAAAACAACATAGGAAAAATGGGCATAAAGTTTCTTTCCGGTTGGATGGTTTCTCAACATTCTTCACATGTTAAGAACAGGATGGAAGATGGGCCCCAAGTTTTGACAATCCCACAAAAAGCAGAGTCAAGGATGAGTAGCTCAGTCCAGAGCTTCAGGACAGCAAACGCTGTGGATGGACGGACGTCCAAAGCCTTTGCGGACTGACGAATGGCATAGGACTGGAGCACTATGTTCACAACAATTTAAAGAAAAAGCATACGAAAAAGGCAAGAAATGAAAATGTTAACAGTGGTTATTTTCTGTGTAGTGGGATGACATACAATTTTTCTTCTTAATGCCTCTGTACTTTTCACATTTTATATAGAGATGGTGCCTTACATTTTAAATGGAGAGATATATGGGAAAAGCCCTGAATTATTTTCACCAAAGTTTTCTCAGGGTTCTTGCTATTCTCTCTGCTTGCTTGCTTAAAATTATGGATATGAAAACTCAACAAAACACTACACTAAGGGGAGCCTGGGTGTCTCCGTCGTTAAGCATCTGCCTTTGGCTTGGGTCATGATCCAGGATCCTGGGATCGAGCCCCGCAATGGGCTCCCTGCTCAGCAGGAAGCCTGCTTCTCCCTCTCCTGCTTCCCCTGCTTGTGTTCCCTCTCTCGCTGTGTCTCTCTGTCAAATAAATAAATAAAATCTTTAAAAACTACACTAAGAGCTCAAGGGCCAAGACAGTAAAGCCAGGAGAGACAAGTGAAGAAAACCTGATGATAATACAGACACTGATAACTTGCTGAGAATCAGCCCGTGCCAGGAAGTGCAGAACAGGTATGTGCGCGTGTCAGGAAATGCCAAACAGATGCGTGGGTGCGCCGAGAAAGGCCGAACCAGCATATGTACGTGCCGGGAAATGCAGAATAAATGTATGTATGCTGTTTAAAAATCCCAAAACAGGGGCACCTTGGTGGATGAGTCAGTTGGGCGTCTGACTCTTGATCTCAGCTCAGGTCTTTGATCTCTGCGTCATCAGTTCAAGGCCTGTATCGGGCTCCATGCTAGGCATGGAGCCTACTTAAAAAAAAAAAGAGAGAGAAAGACAAAGAAAAAAATCCTAACTAGAGACCAATTCCTACAGTTTGGGATGGACTAACAGGATGAAGTAGCAGAGAGCCTGAAGGTTCCAACCCTGGGAATTTCCTGTGGGAACTATATTGCCCTTGTACGACAGGTAGGAGGAAGGAGACTTACGGAGAAATCTCTTTTGGGAGTGAGCTTCTTGGGGAAGTGGTCGAAGGCATAGGGTTTGGTGCAGACAGGGTAGCGGTTCCGGTGGATCTTGTAGAACAGGTGCGCGGACTTGTCGAGGCGGTAGTCACAGATGTACACGTCTTGCTCCTTCACTCCTTTGGGTCTCCCTAGGAGTTTAAATACTGTTAAAGAACCCTCCTGCCTTCCCCTCCTTCACCTCGAGCTTGAGCTGCCCAGAGAGGAGTCCGCACCACTGGGAGGGCAGCGGGACCCTGAAGTGACGCTGAGAGGCATGTGGTGACGCGGAAGAAAGCAGAGTCCCCAGACAGCAGTGCTAGAAGAGCAGACGAGGAGTGGTGTGTATAGCTCTGAGTGTAAGGGTGGGCCGCAGGGTGGGGGGAACCAGACAGGCAGCTCACCCAAGTGCCGCGGCAGTCTGTGAGGGAGCACAGAGCACAGTGTGGGGACGCCAGGAGAGAGCAAAGGCAGGATGAATGAGGGGCACATCTGGAAATGAGGACTTTATAACCAGGGGATGGAGTCCCCAGAATGATGGAGCCCCAAGCAGCTGGTGCTTGAATGGAGTACGTATCCTTCTGGACAATTTGCTACAACAGAGAAGGTGAGCTGCTTCTCACCCATGACAGGTACTAATCCCTCCTGCCCGCGGCCCAGGGACACAGGTAAACAGGGGTGGGGCTGGAATTTGAGAGCAGACGCCCTCCACAGCCCGCGCCAGTAACCGCGGAGCTGAAACAGCTCGTGTGCTTCTGAGTTTGTTTCACGTCCAGAGTTGATGATGGCCTTTGGGCTTCTGGAATGGGCAGGTAGAAGAACGTGCCTTGTGATGATGCTACTAGAATGCTGAGTAGACATTATTAAGAAATGTTAACTAAGTTAAAAACAAAGGGAAATTGACGTTTATTGAGTATCAAGAAAAAAATAAAAAAAATAAAACATTTATTAAATGAGCACCAAGTGCTAGCTAAAAGAAAGAGAAAATACAGCTCTTTGAAGCTTCACGGCTAGCCTGGGACAATCTTTTATCAGAGACATAAGAAAGGAGTGGCAGCTGCAGATGGAAGGAATGGGGGCAGGAGATCATTTCTTCAGCAGCTCAGGTTACCTACCTTTACAGTAAGTATAAAGGTCCAGGACACAGCAGGTCCCCACCACAGCCTCCAAAGGAATGATCTCGTAGAGTGGCACCCGGAACAGCTCGTTGTGATAGAAGCGGCGGGATGGAGAGTGGTGGGTCTCGTGGGGGCGGAAGTAGTGGTGACCAAAGGCAAACCGTTCCTCTCTAAGGAAGAAAGGGCGAGGTTTAGTTGACGGGCGAGATCCTCGGCCATATTCGGCTCTGCGCTGGAAGGGCAGAGCTGGGGGAAGAGAGACGACCTCAACACGTACTTTTCATTCTTCCAAAGCTTTTCAATGCGGAAGATGTCTAGTTTGTCTCGGTTAATGTGCGACAACAGTCGGTAGGACTGGCGGACTGGGTGGCCGTCAGGTGTGCGCCGGCTGTCCCGCATCAGGTACACGCAGTCGCCTAGGAAGGCACAGGACACGTTAAACGATGCCTGTGTGAACTCGATCTACAGGGAAGGGCTTAAGGTCTAAAACGACAGACACAGAGAGCTGTAACACGGGCGGTGGAACGGCGATGCTCGTCAGTTTCGGACTATGAGGAGGGCATGAGGGAGGTCCTCCTTCTCCCGGAATCCTGCAAGTTTTTCTCAGTCCTAAACTTAGCTTACTGACACCCTGGTCTCTCCGAATTAGTTTTATGTGGGGGAGGGGAAAACGTGTAAACCCCAAGGACTGGAGGATAGCAGACCAATACTGCCAAGCCTTGAACAACGTGGGTTTGAGGGGCACGGGTCGAATTATATGCAGATTCTTTTTTTTTAAATGAGTGCAGCACAGCACTGTGGGTGTAATGTAAAAAACCTTATGATCTTCTTAATACTTCCTTTTCTCTAGCTTACTCTGTCATAAGCATCCAATATATCAATACATGTAACATACAGAATATGTGAAAATCGACTATTTATGATGCCGGCAAGGCTCTGGTCAACATTAGGCTATTAGTAGTTGAGTTTTTGGAGCGTCCAAAGTTGTATGTGGATTTCTGACTGTACCCAGGGTGGGGCAGGGGGGCTTGGTGCCCCTGAGCCCTGCATGGTCAAGGGTCAACCATATTTAACTGCTATGAGCAGTCGTGCGGGGACAGTAACTAGTACGCAGAGAGCAGATGCTCCCACTGCTCGGAAGGAGGGTCAGCTTGTGGGCACGCACCTTGACGAAGCAGCAAGTCATCTCGGAGCAAACAGATGAAGTAGACACAGCCGGGCTGGGCATAGTGGGGCCGAGGAATCATGGGTACCTCCTGGTGAGAACGGAAAGCCAGGGGTCAGGGCCGGGACTACTACACCAGCCTACTGATCTCCATTCAAGAGGAAAAGAACTGGGGCGCCTGGGTGGCTCAGTGGGTTAAAGCCTCTGCCTTCGGCTCGGGTCATGATCCCAGGGTCCTGGGATCGAGCCCCGCATCGGCCTCTCTGCTCAGCAGGGAGCCTGCTTCCTCCTCTCTCTCTGCCTGCCTCTGCCTACTTGCGATCTCTGTCAAATAAATAAATAAAATCTTTAAAAAAAAAAAAGAGGAAAAGAACTCAAACCTAGAATTCGCAACCAATTTGAGACTTACTGTTCAGTTATGCCAACACAACACACATGAACCCAGATGAAAGCCGCTGGAGTGGAACTGGGAAAGTGAAGGCAGAGAACGAGACCGACAGGCCAAGTGCCCCAAGGAGCCGGAGGAAACTAACCGTATGGCCGCTCCTGCACCCCTGCGGAGCACGACCACGTGTGAGCCGGGACAGTGACTGTCACAAGGACTCAAGGAAGCCACCAGCATTTAGTGCCCAGAGGCCAGGGACGCCGGACTTTGCACAGCACATCCCTCAGAGCACAGAAACGTCCGCTCAGAACGCCGACACCGCTGTCACGGAACGCTGCCCTTCACAGCGAACACCTGCCCGAGACCAGCGCACGAACACAGCAGACCCAGGACAAACCCGCTTAGCAACTCGGACAAGTCACCCCACCCACTGTCTCTCCTGCCAGGTGGGCCTAAGACCGGCTTGTGTACTCGCGTGGGGAGCTGACCGCGTGTTCAGCACCAGTCCTTCCAGAGGCCTCTACGTAATGTACTTCCCCTCTGACCACATGCTTGGGAAAAGGAAGGGCAGAATTATTACCCTAGTGTAGAGTGTAAGAAACTAAGGCCCAGAGAGGCTGAGTGGTTTATCGGGGGAAACGCATGCCCCAGCAGCAGGGCAGGTGAGAGCCCGCTCGCTAGTCTCCTGCGTGCAGATCCGAGTCCCAGCAGAAGGCAGCTTACTCTGTCCACAGGCCTCGGGTCACACTGCTCGCAAAGGTAGTGCTCCACGTCCGAGTCCAGCCCCATGCAGTCACAGTGTTGCCACACCTGCGGAGAGAAGAGTGCGCTTGGGAGGGGCTCTGGGAGCTAAGAATAAAATAACAACAACAAAAAAAAAATCAGCAGTAGGACAGGGTGAGGTCGAACAGGCACGAAGGGAGAAGTAGGTAAGTGCAAAGTCAGAAATGGTTTAAGACCCGGGAAAAGGAGAGCTTGTCTGAACCAAGTACACTGCCTGGTCCGCACCCGCTCGTGTGGGGAAGTGTGGAGCAGGGAACACAGCACCAGGGGCAGCCCTTGTCCAGCTTCGTGCTCGAGGGACAAGCGCACCCCGGGAGAGGGGTGCGCCCAGGGATCGGGCGCCAGGAGGGGTGAGTCCCCCCATGCTCTCCGGGCTGCATCCCCCGGACCGCGCCCGGGCGCCCCCGCCCCTCCTGGCTCCACTCCCCAACCAGGCAGCGCCGTGAGGACCCTCCTCCGTCTGGAGCCTCGTCCACCCGGCTCCCGAGGAAGGCGGCTCCGCGGGAAGCTCGGTCCTGCACAGACGCGCGCCGCCCCCGCGGGCCGAGAGCAGGTGGGCGCGCAGCGAGGGAAGGTGCGGGGCGCGGAACGGGATCGGCCCTCCGTGCGGCGAGGCGAGCGCGGCGGCGCCTCCACAGCCCGCAGGCCGGCCCGCGCGGGCTCACCATGCACTTGTCGCACTGGATCATGAGGCCTTCGTCCTTGTGCAGGCCGCACACACAGCGGATCACGTCGTCGTCCTTCTCGTGCGCGTTCTCCTTCTCGGACACCGACGTCTCGCTGCTGTCGGCCTCGCTCGCCGTCTCCCCCACGATCTCGTCGATCTGCGCCGACGCCTCGTGCCGGGCGTTGTAGTAGGTCTTCCGCAGGCGGCACACGTCCCTCCCGATGGGCGACTTGCGCCCGTAGTACTTCTGCGGGAGAGCGGGGGAGATCCTGGTGGGTCTTCTGGGGCGGGGGGCGCTCAGTGTGCGGGGCCGCGGCTCCCGATCTCGGGGCGGGGGTCTCAGGTCAGAGCGACGGCCCGCACGGCCCGCAGGCGGCACAGGGGACCCGAGTGTGCGTTTCCTGCTTGCTCTGCGGCTGTACACCGTCCTGGGCTCGCACACCCCGCACACCCCGCGGACGCCGATCGGAGCCGGCGGCGTGAGCGCTCACTGTCCCGCAGCCGCAGGCTGTGCACACGGAAGTGGGTTGGGCAGAAAGCGCGCTGGCGTCCAGCACGGACCGAGTTCTCCTACTTGTCGGCTCTGCTCGTTTCCGTCCTCACCTCCTCACCTCAATTCTCCTGTCACCTTGAAGCCCCTTTCCTCTCGTTCCTCTCCAACTATTTCAAAATCACTGAAAAACGTCTTTTCCATGTTCGGTACAATATTCTATCTTCTCTTTTAGGTTCAAGGTCACCTTCTCACCAGTGTAATCTACCAACCATTAGCCTAAACCCCAGTTCCATCCTTCAGATTTGTTTCTACTTACTCTTCACAATTCTTTGTCTTTCACGTGTATTTACTCCCTTGAGGAAAGAAACTACAGCTATGACGTAAGTGTGCAAAATGTACTATGTAAATACAAAGGTTCAAAACTAAATTGTTTCCCCCCAGATTTATCTATTCAACTAGAGAGAGTGAGAGAATGTGGGTGCGCACCCACGCACGGGCCCCAAGGTGGGCCTGGGGACCCTGAGATCACAACCTGAGATGAAACCAGAGTCAGATGCGGAACTGACTGTGCCATCCAGGCACCCCTAAATTAGATTTTTATGAAAATGTCTTTTTAGGGAGTATAATTTAGTCTTTCTTTCTCGTGATATCAATGTCTTTACTATATATAAAGATTCCACAATATTTAGCAAACCTAACCTTTACACAAGGGCACTCAGTAAAAACTGTTGTCTTTAGGGACGCCTGGGTGGTTCGGCCAGTTAAAGCTTCTGCCTTCAGTTCAGGTCATGATTCCAGGGTCCTGGGATCAACTCCCATACAGGGCTCCCCACTCAGCAGAGAGCCTGCTTCTCCCTCTGCCTGCTGCTCCCCTGTTTACGTTTGCTCTCTCACTCTCTCAAATAAATAAATAAAATCCTTTCTTTTTTAAACTAAAATCTTTAAAAAAAACTGTTGCCTTTGCCAGAAATATAAAGGTTGACATAAGGTAAAAACCTTAAGCCTCTAGAAAAAAAATTTTCTAAAGAAGTTATTAATTACTTCTAAAAAATATTTTATTTATTTGAGACAGAGACAGCATAAGCAGGGGGGAGCAGCAGGCAGAGGGAGAAGCAAACTCCCCACTGAGCAGGGAGGCTGACGCAGGGCTCCATCTCAGGACCTCAGGATCATGATCTGAGCCGAAGGTGGATGCTTCACGGACTGCGCCCTTTTCTAAAGTTTTTATTTAAATTCTAGTTATCTAACCTATAATGTGATATTGCTTTCTGGAGAACTCAGTGTTTCATCGCCTATGTATGTCACCCAGTGCTCATCACGACAAGGGCCCTCCTTCATGTCCACCCCCGTCGAGGCCGCCCCCCAGCTAGTCTGTCCCCTGCCCACCTCTCCTTCAAGATAAACATCTTAAATCCACGTTTGAAGTCAGTGTAGGTACCTCAGCGTTCCGGAACACCTTGAGCATGTCAGCATCAAAGGCCTCCACGGTCTTGTAATGGCCGGTGAGGATCTGCCGCTCGATGGTGGCCAGGTCCAGCGGCTCGGGGATCTTCTCATAGTAATCCGCGTTCCTGCAGCGGGAAGCCAGCGCGTCAACCCGGCATGCCGAGCGCGGACTGAAACCTCCCGGGTTCCTACGCTGGGGAACTTACTTTTTCTTTGGGGGGAGGTTCAAGAGGGGGGCGGCCAGAGCTTGTCGGGAAGAATCTGCAAAAGAAGGCCGGGGTCAGAAGGCCGGTGTGACCGGGAGAGGCCGGCGCGCACTCTCTCGGAGGACACAGAAGCCCCCACATCAGAAGTTCGCGGGGAAAATCCAAGCTTTTTTTGAGGCGTGATCATGAAATGTACAGGACTTTTCAGAAATGTGAGCTCTTGGAGGCAGGGGACAACTTTCAGGACGACCCGGGACAGGAACAGCAAGAGACGGGGAAGTACTGAGGGGCGGAGGGCGATGCCCCACTCCGCACACGTTACTGAAGCCAAGAATGTCTTCTCCAAACAGGGTTTTCTAGTTCTTGTTCGTGGACCGTCGGCCACAGTATTATTCTGTTGGTTTGGGTTCAATTAAATTCCAGATAATGAACGATTTAGAACTGGAAATACTTTCTGGAATCCATCTTCTTGTAACACAGTTACTTTCTATTATGTGAACAATTCATAACTGGGGCTACTTGCTACCTTACCTACTTTCTTTTTTAAAAATTCTATTTCCTGGGACACCTGGGTGGCTCAGTGGGTTAAGCCTCTGCCTTTGGCTCGGGTCATGGCCCCAGAGTCCTGGGATTGAGCCCTGCATCGGGCTCTCTGCTCAGCGAGGAGCCTGCTTCCTCCTCTCTCTCTCTGCCTGCCTCTCTGCCTGCTTGTGATCTCTGTCTGTCAAATAAATAAATAAATAAATCTTTAAAAAAAAATTTCTATTTCCTGGGGCACCTTTGTGGCTCAGTCAGTTAAGCCTCTGACTCTAACTTCCAGCTCCGCTCGGGATCTCAGGGTCATGAGATGAGCCCCGCATGGGCCCCACGCTCAGCGCAGCCCGCCGGGCATTCTCTCTCCCTCTGCTCCTACCCCTGCTCACGAGCGCTCTCTAAAATAAATAGAATCTTTCAAAACATTCTATTTTATTACTGAAGTACAGTTAACATACAGTGTTAGCTTCGGGTACACAACTTCATGACCTGACAACTGTGTGTGTGACTCGACGCACACCAGGGTGAGTGCAGTCATCATCTGTCGGCACACGAAGCTGTTCCAGTGCGACGGACTGCACTCCCTACGCCGTACTCAGTTCTGTGACTTATTTATTTTGTGACTGCAAGTCTGTACTTAATCCCCTTTATTTTATCCATTCCCTCCCCTCCCCTCCAGCAACCACCAGTTCTCTGTATTCAAGAATTTTCACATACGAGTGAAATCACATGGTACCTGTCTGACTTATTTCACAAAGCATAATGCCCTGTGGGTCTATCCATGTTAGAAATGGCAAGATTTCCTTCCTTTTCATGGCCAAGTAACATTCCATTGCCACATACCACCTCTCCTTTATCTATTCATTTACGGATGGACATGGAAGCTACTTCTTGGCTATTCTAAAAATAATGCTGCAAAAACCACAGGGTGCACGTGTGGTTTTCAATTAGTACTTTCATTTTCTTTGGGCAAATACCCAGTAATGTGATTACTGAGTCGTAAGGTGTTTCTATTTATTTTTTATTTTTGTTTCCTTCCTTCCTTCCTTTCTTTCTTAAGATTTATTTATTGGGGCACCTGGGTGACTCAGTCAGTTGAATGTGTGGCTTTGGATCAGGTCATGATCCCAGGGGCCTGGGATCGAGCCCCACCTTGGGTTCCCTGCTCAGTGGGGAGCCTGCTTCTCCTTCTCTCTACCCCTCCCTCTGCTTGTGCTTTCTCTGTCAAATAAATAAATAAAATCTAAAAAAAAAAAAAAAGACGTATTATTTATCCAAGAGAGAGGGAAGTAAGTAAGAAGGTGGGTCAGGGCGGGGGCGGGACAGAGGGAGAGAGAACCCCAAAGGACTCCATGCTGAGCACACAGCTGACTCAGAGCTTGATTTCACAAGTCGGAGACCAAAACGTCACCATGTGAGCTGGAGTCGAGAACTAGACTCTCAACTGACTAGGCCACTCAGGTGCCCCCCATCTTTAATTTAAAAAAAGAAAAATTATTTGTCAGAGAGAGAGAGTGAATGCACAAGCAGGGGGAGCAGAGGAGGCAGAGGGAGAAGCTGGCTCCCGGCTGAGCAGGGGGTCCGTCGGGGATTGGGATCATGACCTTCCATCTTTAATTTTTTGGGGAACCTTCACAGGCTACTTTACTTTCTAGCAACAGTGAGGGAAAAAGCCTATTACTTCATGCCCAGGATGTGGGGACGTGTCGATGTACTGGCTGCAGCTTCACAGTAAATCAGACGGCCCGGCTGGCCATGGGTGGGGTGACTTTTTTTGGAATGGCAAGAGAACAGGTGCCACAAGCCGTTACAAGTTAGGACACGCTGGTTCCCCTTTCTTCTCTACCTCCTTAGGTTAACGAAACTGCCAAGAGCCACTGAGGTACAGAGATAAGTAGTAGCCAGAAAAGGAACAGGGAAGGGAAACCAGATTATTTAGAATCGAGGGAGAGGGAGGGAGAGAGAGAGCAAAGTTGAGGACAAAAAGCTGCAGTTGTTTGTTAAAAGCTCTCATTTTAAACATCTCCAAACTTCCTGGTCAGAAAGTCGCAAACACTACCACACTACCTCCCCCAGATTAAAAACTCTCCTTCCCCACCACCACCCACATCACATACTCTAAAGATGTCTTGAAAGAGGAAAGGAGAGGTAACGGTGTTTGCATGAAAATGCTTTAAAAGCTCAGTCGGTAGGGCATGCGAATCTTGATCTCAGGGTTTTAAGTTCAAGCCCCACATTGGGTGTAGAGATTACTTAAAACAAAAACAAACAAACAAAAAACTTAAAAAAAAAAAAAGAGGTTAAGAAACACTGAAATCACATGTTCCTAACACCCTTTTCCTTGAATTGCTAATTCACTGCCTCATTCAGGAAAATGACATTCAAGACAGAGACCTGTTCTTTCTGTCCTATAGCTAAAAAATGTGATTTCTAAATACAGTACTTAGCTTTGATAAAATTCTAATAAATACCAAAGACTGACATAGAAGATCAAAGGATTTAGATTCTTTTCTTGGGGAAGATTTTATTTATTTATGTGACAGAGGGAGAGATCACAAGCAGGCAGAGAGGCAGGCAGAGAGAGAGGAGGAAGCAGGCTCCCCACTGAGCAGAGAGTCCGATGTGGGGCTCGATCCCAGGACCCTGAGACCATGACCTGAGCCGAAGGCAGAGGCTTAACCTACTGAGCGCCCCAGGTGCCCCCAAAGGATTTAGATTCTATCAACACTCCCCGAAGACTAAAACCAGTCCTATGCATTCTATGCTGACGAAAGAAAGAACAAAGAAAGCCTCCTAAAATCCCTTGTCCTGAGTGGTGGGTCAGTTGTTCTTGGTCTTGGGGGTCTCAGGTGAGGGTGAGTGGCAGGATTTTTACAGAAAAGCTGAGGAGAAAGCCTCTGGGGTGCGTGGGGTCACCTTTGTAGGAGATGATGCCATCACAGATCTCTTTGAAGATTTGGGCGAGGCGGGCTGCCCGCGCCACCTCAAGGTTTTCCTCCGCTGCTGCCAGCCGCCTTGTGCGAACCGACCGTGCCGTCTGCAGGGCCGAGAACTGGGTCATGAAGACATCTGCAAGGACACAGTGAGAATCAGTTCTAGGAAAAGAGAGCGCCATGCGGCCTTCTCCTCCCCCATGGGTTCTTGCCATTTGCTCTATTTTCCTTGAAGTGATGAAGCAGATTAGTGATGGTGGAGTTCTCTCTCCCCTCTTTCAAGAAATCTGTGGAAACGCTGGAGTTTACCACAGAGACTGAAGCTGCACGTTCGAGGCGCCCGATCTCTGACCCAATGCTGTGCAGTACAGCGGCTGCCAGCCTGCACCCCAAAATGAGTCTGTGTTTGAATTCTGGCTTCGCTACTTCCTAGCTTGGGATCTCGGGCAAGTTACTCAGGCTCTCTGTGTCTCAGCTTCTGGGCTGCCAAGGGGGAATAACGGTAGTGCTCCCCTCAGGAGGTATCCACGCAGATTAAATGAGAGAATGTTTTTCATGTATTGAGCGCAGGCCCTGACCTGTACCAGACTCCGGAAGTACTTGTTATTACAGGAGACTGGACCTAACTGGGGTGTAAGTTCGGAGACTTCATGCCAGTTAAGTTACTGACAGGACCGGAGGCAAATTTCCGCATCGATCAAGTTCGCACAGAGCAAGCAGCTCCCCTCATACACCACGCACAACGCTTCTACTTCGTGAGGGGGAGGAAAGACTCAACGAGGAGCGAGCGGCTCTTGAACTCTATTGGCTTAGAAAAGACGCTTGGACAGGCCAGTGGACAACAGATCTGAACTCAGGAAAGCGGTTACATTATTCACTCAAGAAGCTCAGAGAACAGCAATCTGGAGGTCTGTGCGCACAGTGCTCATCTGAACGTGGGGGGAAGAAGTCTTCAAATTTACGCTGCTGTCATTTTCTCCCGCATGCAGCGTCACGATTTACCCATATGCAAGTTACAGTCCAGGTAGGAAGGGACGCGGGGGGCCCACTACCGATCGCATGACTGGACGCTGCGGGCTACAGGTGGTGTTTGGGAAGCTGGTGAAGGGGATTCTTCCTACTCCCTCGAGCACAGACTAGGAACCTGAGCAGCTGGGATGGAGAGGTGATTGCTGAATGATGCCTGTACGCTGGGATCTTAGCTTTTTTGGTCCAGAGTAAAAAGAATCATTGAATAGAATGAAAGCAACTAAAATAACCAGTGGGAGACAATACTACGGAACCAACAGGTGCACTCATTTCCGGCCGTACCCGACTTGATGTTCCCGTCATCTCGGCAGATGCCGTTCCAGCGGCTGTAGAGCGACGCAGAGTGGAGGTTGTCGCTGGTGTGCTTGACTTCCTCTTGTTTCTGCCGAATCTTCTCCCAGTTTCGGACCAAGAATACATGATGCTTTAACACAAAGTTCCTGGAAAGAAGGAAGGTCTTTTATTCATTAATTCAATAAGCATTTATTACATGCCTACTTTATGTAAACTACTTTTTTTAAAAAAAGATTTGACACAGAGAGAGACAGAGTACAAGCAGGGGGAGCGGCAGGCAGAGGGAGAAGCAGATGCCCCTCTGAGCAAAGAACCCAACATGGGGCTCGATCCCAGGACTCTGGGATCACGACCTGAGCTGAAGGCAGAGGCTTGACTGAGCTACCCAGGTGCCCTGAAGATTTTATTTTTAAGTAATCTCAACACCCAATGTGGGGCTTGAACTTACAACCCAGAGATCAAGAGTTGCACATTCTACTGGCTGAACCAGTCAGGTGCCCCAGAACCATTGTTAATGATGATATAAATCAATAATTATCAGTTAATCCACATATTATAAAATAATTATATATTATATATGGGAAAACAATTCAGTTTTGCATTTTTTTTCTTCCATATAACATAAAACATTCCCCTCCACTATTTGTAAGCATCTGGCAAATACCACTTAAAAGCTGCAGAAACTCTGGCAAGTGAAACAGCCTGACTCGAAGGCTGTGATTTATCGAGTACGTACACGAATTCTCACTGAAGTCGCCCAGACGAAGCGTGGGCTCAGGACTAGCTGTAGGAAGGAGGACTGGACCGGCCGATCAAGGCCAAGACACGTGAGACAGGTACGGCCTGGGCAAACCCTGTGTGATGCAGTGTCCCCACGTAGACCTGTAAGCTTATGGTAAGTTACGTCTGTCTTCAAGGACCCCACACAACGTGATGATTCCACAATTTGATCCCCGCCCCAGTGCACACATAAACAGATGTGACACTGGGTAAGCCTCAAACCGTGGGCCTCAGTAAATTAAACTTCAACCAATTTTATGGTTCCTGACCTGGTCACACTGAAATCATCAGGGGAGCTTTACAGACTACTAATGCTTCGGTCCCACCTCTGAAAATTCCGGGGTAAGAGATATGCGGAGCAGCCTGGGCGGCAGGAGGTGCTGACAGCTCCCAGGCAAATATGCAGCAGGAGCAGAAACCTGCTGGACTAGATCATCTGTTTTCCTCCGGTTTAAAATTTCTATGACTCAAGTGATATGGGACAAAAAGGGCCAAGACCACAGTGAAGTTACAAATGCTGATGAACTTTCTAAGATACTGGAGCAGATGGCCAGGGAAGATGGAGGATACGTCCCAGGACCTGGGAAGCCCAGCACATGCATATTTACTTCGCTTACTCCTGACACGGACGACTCTTACCTGAGTACAGGGAAGAGCGAAAATGGTCACTACAGACCCTGTTTACTGCTCTAATAATTTATCAACAAAGCAGGAAATCTGGCAGTCTGATGAAGCCCGTGTCACCCTTCCCTGAAGAAAGTTTTAAAGTATTTTAAAAAATTTTAATTTAAAAATTTTAATTTTTAATACACAGGGTTAAAAAGAAATCAAATATACTGAAATTGTTTTCAGAATATTAAAAAAAACCCCGAAATTGTGATACAGAAGTAAACATTGATTTTTTTTTTTTTTAAGATTTTTATTTACTTGACAGACAGATCACAAGTAGGCAGAGAGGCAGGCAGAGAGAGAGAGAGGAGGAGGAGGAAGCAGGCTCCCCGCTGGGCAGAGAGCCCGATGTGGGGCTTGATCTCAGGACCCTGGGATCATGACCTGAGCCGAAGGCAGGGGCTTTAACCACTGAGCCACCCAGGTGCCCCTAAACATTGATTTTTTTTTTAACACATGACAAGTTCTAGTGGCTAGTGGTAGGTTTAACAACAACAGTAATTTCAAGGTAGAAATCATGTGATATTTTGTGAACACTGGTGATAAAATCATGGAAACTGCAAATACTACACACACACACACTTTTTGCCGATGATCATATTTGAAGGAAATGCTAAATTTCAGTTAGAAATTGGGGAAAACAAACACGTATCCCCCCCCATCCAAATTTACATATCCCGATTCTTGGCTAATGACCTCCTGCACAAAGAAATGACTCAACTGTACAGATGTTTAATGATTTTTGAAGTGACAAGCAAATCACACAAAGGCAAGAAAACCTCCTTTTTACCTCTCTCGATTAGACATCGGCTTCATCTGTATCTGGGGGGCCAATCTCGTTGGGGTGTTCATGTTTTCACTGGGTTCTTCGGAGAGGTGGCCTCTCTGGAAAACACAGGGACCGGATTGCAGGAAAGAAAGGGTCAATCGGGAACCCTTGAAGGGCGTTGGGACGGCTTTAACACCACCCTCAGGGCCGCCCTGCTCCCTGCGCCCACCCTGGGCAGCGGTGCCGGGAAAGCCGGGAACGAGGCCGATACTCACCCTCTTCTTCAGCTTGTGCTTCGACTTCCTCTTCTCTTTCGACCGTCCGGACTTCTTATGCGTAGCCACGGGCTGGCTGCTTTTACTGCTGGTGAGTCCGTTCACGCGCTGACTCTTGCCCCCGATGATTCCTCGACATTTCTCGAAGCCACACTTACACAGTTGCTTTGAAAGGAAAGAGAGCCGTGCTTTCGGCCTGCAGCCTCACTGCTGCGTCCAACAGCGCGCCCGAGCGTCCGCACGCCGGACAGTGAGTTTCAGTCGCGAAGTTTTTAGACAGAGGTAAAGCAACTGAGTAAAATAAATATAAATGTGTTTCCATGGAAAGCAAAGATTAAACTCTGCGAAAACTTCTTCACTAGGCAGGCTAAGAACTGACTGAAGACCAACATGACGGAGAGTCTCTTTCTACAGAGTTCTGAGCCAGTGCCCGAGGGAAGTGGGCTGGAAACCGCCGGCTCCAACGTCCCTCTCATCGGCTGTGCTCAGTGACGTTTAAGAAGGCCTGTGGTGTGCCTGGTGCGGTGGCAGAGTCCCACCTCCCTCCCGAACGGGCTCATGCTTACCTGTTTTTCCACATTAAAGGAATGGAAGTTGTAATCGTAAGTGAGCTCGGTACCAGCTGGCATGTCCTTCAGAGCATACAGTCCAATCCGGTATACTCCATTGACAGACCTACGGAGGAGGAGAGGGTTAAAGGCAGAGATTCTTTTTTTTTTTTTTTTTTTAAAGATTTTATTTATTTATTTGAAAGACAGAGGGTGTGTGTGCATGAGCAGGGGCAGGGGCAGCGGGAGAGGGAGAAGCAGATTCCATGCTGAGCAGGGAACCAAACTTGGGGCTCCATCCCAGTCACAGGGATCATGACCTGAGCCGAAGGCGGCTGCTTAGCCAGTGGAGCCCCCCAGGAGCCCCGAAGGCAGAGATTCCTAACACCCTGCCTGAAATGGTACGCTGACTTCAAATGTGCCTTTGCTTATCTGTCCAATTACTTGGGGTTTCCTGGCCAGTCTCTGTACCTTCAGTGTCTGTGTTCTATGCCGCCCAGCTTGTGTGACACTGCTGGACTAACAGCCCTCACTCAGCTTTCTGGAAAACAGGCTCTATGCTGTCAGTCAGAACGGGTCTTAAGTTTTCTTGCTTGGTATTATTCAACGTCTCTCTGATGATAAGTCTACTTCCTTTATGAGTTTCTCTCTTTGGTTCTATTTTATGTAACTTATTGATAATTTATCACGTACTATTCTAGATGCTTTATGTAATAATAATTATAATCACTGAGTGATTGTTACATTAATTATAACATCTCGTTGTACTAACTTATTCAATCCTTCCAACAACAGTATAAAAAAGGCATTTTTTTTTTTTTTTTAAAGTAGGCTCCACACCCAATGTGGATCCCAGCTTGGGGCTTGAACTCATGATCCTGAGATCAAGACCTGAGCTGAGGTCAAGAGTCGGAGGCTTAACTGGCTAAGCCACCCAGGCGCCCCCAAAAGGCACTATTATTGGGTAGTATTACAGCTCCAGTTTCTGAGGAAGCTGAGGCACAGAGAGGTCAAGTAACTTATCCAAAGTCACACAGCTAATAACTGAGGGAATCAAACTGAGTTTCAAATCAAGGCAGTCTGGCTTCAAAATCTTCATCACTGTGTCTTACTGATAACAGGTGAGCGCACTGGCCCTCAGAACAGCCTGATGAGACGGGTACTTTGGTCCCTATTTTATACAGGAAGTATTTGTGGCTTAGACAGTTTATTCGGTCACACAGCAAGGAAGCTGCATTTAAAACCAGGGGACTCAAATCCAGGCTGTCTGATGCCACAGATTTTCTTCTCTTGCTCCACTGCTGCCTCCTTGCCAATGTCGGAAACACCAAGGTTTAGCTTGGATCCTATCCTTATCAAATGGAAATTTCTCTAATATATTCAGGTTCCCCCCTTCCCATTCAGAAAGCATTTTTAGTCTATGCTAGTGTTTGGCAAACTATAGCAAACCCCACCCACGTCTTTGTAAATTTTTACTGGTGCACCCCAAAAGTCTGCTGACCCTTGGTCTACACCATGACATTAAAAATTTGTACACTGTACGTTTTAAAAACCTGGGGGGACTGGTGGGACGCCTGGCTGGCTTAGTCACAAGAGCATGCTGCACCTGATCTTGAGGTTGTAAGTTCAAGTCCCAGGTTGGGTGTAGAGATTACTAAATGAAATAAATTAACTTAAAAAATTTTGGGTGGATTCTTATTTATTTTTCGAGGGGGAAGAGAGAAAGAGAGAATGGGAGAGGGGGAGAGGGAGAGGAGAGGAAAGGAGAAGCGAGGAGAGGAGAGAGAAAACAAGAGGAGGACAGAGGGAGAGGTACAGGGAATCTCAAGCCGACTCCGTGCAGCGCAGAGCCTGATACATGGCTTGATCTTACAACCTGAGATCACGCCCTGAGCCACAAATCAAGAATCAGGCACTTAACCAAATGAGCTGTCCAGGTGCCCCTGGGGGGTCTTACATGGCGTAGGATACACAACTCCTAGATGTGCAGTTAGCTTGCTGACTTCTAGGTGTCTTTACACCTGTGCAACCTCCCAGAAACCTTTCTTTCCCAGTTAGCACCTTCTCCACACAGGATGTGGGGCAACTCTATCTCTGTCGCCACTGACTAGTCTGGTGTCTTTGGGACGTCACATGAGCGGAATCATAGAGTAATTCACTGGAGGAGACGCAAGCACAAGCTTCATTCCCCCACTCGGTGTTACTACGGCTGCTATCAGCTCTACTCTGCGTGAACAGCACCACGGGGGCTCCTGTCTTCTGGGTAAGTATCCGCACTGACTGTAGTTCTCAGCTGTTACGAAGATGTTTCCGTGGGTGTCCCGCACACGCCTTAGAGCGTGAACGCTCACTTCCGCTGGGGACATACTCAGGAGTGTGGCCATGGAGCTCCGGGCCACATTTAGCCGTGACAGGTATGGGCAAGCTTTTGCTCGGCCGTGGTTCTACACCCGCACACACTCCCACCAGCACCTACAAGAGCTCGTGTCAGACTACATGCTCGGCAATCTCCGAACTGCCATTCTCTGTAGGCGTTGTGGGGCAGCACGTAGTGTTCCAACACAGTCCAGTATTTCTCTTGGATGGTTAAAGATATTAAACACCTATTTTGGGGCACCTGGGTGGCTCAGTGGTTAAAGCCTCTGCCTTCGGCTCAGGTCATAATCTCGGGGTCCTGGGATCGAGTCCCGCATCGGGCTCTCTGCTCGGCGGGGAGCCTGCCTCCTCCTCCTCTCTCTCTCTCTGCCTGCCTCTCTGCCTACTTGTGATCTGTCAAATTAAAAAAAAAAAATCTTTAAACACCTATTTTATGTGTATTGACTATTTTTTAAAAGGATTTTATTCGAGAGGGAGGGAGCAGGAGTGATAGAGGGAGAGGGAAAGGGTGAGCCAGGCTCCCCACTGAGCACAGAGACGGTCGCAGGACTCGATCCCAGGATCCTGAGATCATGACCTGAGCTAAAGTCCGACACTTAACTGAGCCATCCAGGTCTCCCTGTTTTGAAAACTGTTATATTCTTTTCGCTGTGCCTATTCTTTGAACAATTTAAAAAATTGGGCTTTCCTATTTATTTGTAGATTCTAGATTTATAAAGTTCTTTGTCAGATAAATATTGTAAATATCTTCTCCCCAGCGTATGGCTTAGCTTTTTAACTCTCATAATACTATCTTTTGATGAAATGTTTAATATTATCTGTTCCTTTACAGCCAGTGCTACTTTCTTGGGGGGGCGGGTGTTAGCCCCCATGTTGGGCTCTGTGCTCAGCAGGGAGTCTGCTTGTCTCTCTTCTGTTCTTCCCCCTTCACATGCTTGCTCTAAATAAATAAATAAATAAATAAAATCTTAAAAGACAAAAAAGTTCAACCCCAAGATCAAGAGTTGCTCCGACAGTGCACTGAGCCGGCCGGACACCCCTGTAAACACTACTGAATTTTATCAAATGCTCTTTCTATTTTCTATTACCCCCATTGAGATGATAAATGATTTTTTGTCTTTATTCTGTCAATGCAGTAAGTTACATTGATTATGAATGTTAAACCAACCAACCTTTCACTCCTGGAGTAAACCCCACGTGGTCATGATGTATTAGTCTTACATATTGCTAGAGCTGATTTGCTAATTTTTTTTTAAAAAAGATTTTATTTATTTGGCAGAGATCACAAGTAGGCAGAGAGGCAGGCAGAGAGAGAGAGGAGGAAGCAGGCTCGCCGCTGAGCAGAGCCCGATGTGGGGCTCGATCCCAGGACTCTGAGATCATGACCTGAGCCGAAGGCAGAGGCTTAACCCACTGAGTCACCCAGGCGCCCCATTTGCTAATATTTTAATGAGGATTTCTGTGTCTATGTTCATGGGAGATCTTCACCCATATTTCTTATTTCTCTTAATGATGCTCTTAGGTTTCAGACGAAGGTTATACTAGCCTTAAGAAATGGAAGAGTTTGGGGCGCCTGGTGGTTCAATGGGTTAAAGCCTCTGCCTTCGGCTCAGGTCGTGATCCCAGGGTCCTGGGATCGAGCCCTGAATCAGGCTCTCTGCTTGGCGGGGAGCCTGCCTCCCCCTCTCTCTGTGCCTGCCTCTCTGCCTACTTGTGATTTCTGTCAAAATAAATAAATAAAATCTTAAAAAAAAAATGGAAGAGTTTATGTGATATTGGTAGTACAGAGTCTTTAAGTATACAGAAGAATCATCAGTGAAGGTATTTGAGCTTGGAGCTTCTTTTGTCAGAAACTGTTAATTATACATTCAATGTCACTGGCAGACATTCAGACTTTTTTTCTCTCCTTGTGCCATTTTGTAAGTTGTGCTTTCTCAAGGAATTTGTTCATTTTATTTAACTCTCCAAATAGGAGTTCAGGAAAACGGACAAACTGTGGTGAATTTATACAAAGGAACATTAGTCCAGAATAAAAATCAACAAATCAACAACACAGATAACCTGTAAGAACACGCCACGTGAAAGAAGCCAGACAGCAGCGTACACAGACATGCAGCTCTGCAACAGGAAAACAGATCTGGTGACAGAAACCACATCGCTGCCTGCCTTTGAGGTGGCAAGATTCTAAACCTGAAACAATGGAAATGTTCTTTACGTTGATAGGATGTGGGTTGTATGGGTGTATACATTTGTAAAAATGGATGGTAATTTACACTTAAAATCTATGTCTTTACGTAATACTTAAAGTTAAAAAATTTACAAAAATAGAAAGCTGTTCAATCTGATTATCTTTTTTAAAAAAGATTTTATTTCATAGAGAGAGAGAGAGAGAAAGAGCAGGGGGAGAGAGAGAGGGAGAAGCAGCTCCCCGCTGAGCAGAGAGCCCGATGCAGGACTTGATCCCAGGACCCTGAAAACATGACCTGATCCGAAGGCACTGAACTAAGCCACCCAGGTGTCCCTTCTTTAATTTTTCCTCAGCAACGTTTTGTAGTTTTCATGGTACAATTCTCTCACCTTATTGGTTAATTTCTGAGTATCTTATTCTTTTTAGTACTATTGTAAATGGAAATGTTTTTGTAATTTCCTTTTGTTCACTGTGTATGGAAATGCAACTGATTTTTGTGTGTTGACTTTTTGTACCTGTGACTGCTGAATTTCTTTTTTTTTTTTTTTTTTAAAGATTTTATTTATTTACTTGACAAAGTAGGCAGAGAGAGAGAGAGGGAAGCAAGCTTGCCGCTGAGCAGAGAGCCCAATGCGGGGGCTCGATCCCAGGACCCTGAGATCATGACCTGAGCCCAAGGCAGAGGCTTAACCCACCGAGCCACCCAGGCGTCCCTGAATTTATTTCTATCTAACAGCTTCTTTGTGGAGTCTTTAGTATTTTCTACATATAAAATCATGTCACATACAAATAAAGTTAAATGTACTTCTCCCTTTCAAATTTTAATGTCTTTTCTCTCCTCGTCTCGTTATTCTGGTGACCACCTCTACCATGTTTAACAGAAGCACAAAAGTAGGCTTCCTCATGTAGTTCCTGACTTTACAGGAAAAACTTTCCACTTTTTAACTACTGAGAACTGTCTGGTGTGGACTTTTTTCCTTTTTTTAAAAGATTTTGAAAAAAAATATTCATTTGAGAGTGAGAGAGAAAGAGTATGAGCAGGGGAAAGGAGAAGAGGGAGAGAGAGAGGGGAGAGGCCAGCGGGAGAAGACAACTCCCCGCTAAGCAGGGAGCCTGACGTGAGGCTTGATCCCGGGAGTCTAGGATCACGACCTGGGCCGAAGGCAGTTGCTTAACCAACTGAGCCACCCAGGCGCCCTCAGATCGGGCTTTTCTTTGTTCAGATTTCTGATGAGTGATTCAAGCTCTTTACTAGTGAGGACTCTATTCAGATTTTTCTGTGTCTTTATGATTCAGTCTTAGTAGGTTTTGTGTTTCAAGAAATGTGTCCATTTCACACTATGCAGCCACCAAAATCCCTGAAATCTTGCCATTTGCCACGACATGGATGTAGCTAGAGGGTATTATGCTGAGCAAAATAAGTCAATCAGAGAAAAACAATTATCATATGATCTCTCGGATATGAGGAATTTGAGAGGCAGCGAGGGGGGTCATGGAGGACAGGGAGGTTAAAATGAAACAAGATGGGACCGGGGAGGGAGACAAACCATAAGAAACTCTTAATCTCGGGAAACAAACTGAGGCTGCTGAGGGGAGAGGGAGGGATGGGGTGGCTGGGGGATGGACACTGGGGAGGGTATGTGCTATGGTGAGTGCTGTGAAGTGTGTAAGCCTGACAATTCACAGACCTGTACCCCTGGGACTAATAACACATTATACATTAATGAATAAAAGAAGAAATTTGTTCATTTCAACTAGGTAATCCAATCTTCTGGTGCACAACTGTTTGCGGCATTCTCTTAAAATCTTCAGTATTTTGGGGCGCCTGGGTGGTTCAGTGGGTTAAGCCTCTGCCTTCAGCTCAGGTCACGATCTCAGGGTCCTGGGATCCAGCCCCACATGGGGCTCTCTGCTCAGCAGGGAGCCTGCTTCCCTCTCGCTCTCTGCCTGCCTCTCTGCCTACTTGTGATCTCTCTGTCAAATAAATAAATAAAATCTTTAAAAAAAATAAAGTAACATCTTCAGTATTACTGTAGACTTGGTAGTGATGTGCTTTGCTGCTATGAGTTGTAGGAGTTCTTTATTTCATGTATCACCACTTATTAGATATATGAATTGCAAATATTTTCTCCCATTCCATGGGTTGCCTTATTTTGTTGATGTTCTCCTTTGCTTCCTTTGCTGCACAGGAACTTTACAGTCTGACGTTGTTCTGCTTTTGTTGCCCTTTGTTCCTGCTGTCAACCCCGGAAAGTCTTCACCGAGAATGATGTCAAGGAGCTTATCCCCTACGGCTTCTTCTAAGAATTTTATGGTTTCAGGTGCTACTTTTAAGTCCTTAATACATCTTGGCTTGATTTTTGTGTATGATGTAGGCAGGGTCCAGTTTTCCCAACACAATTTACTGAATAGGCTTCTTGTCCTGTACAATATATTCGTGGCTCCTTTGATGTGAGTTAATTGATCATACAAGCATGTGTTTGTTTCTGAGCTCTCTATTAAATTCGTATCATTCTTAGGCCAATACTATACTGTTTTGATTATTATAGTTTCGTAATACAGTTTGAAATCAGGGAGTGAAATGCCTCTACCTTTATTAACCATCTGAGCCATGCAGGCACCCTAAAGATTTTACTTTTAAGTAATCCCTATATCCCACATGGAGCTTGAATCCATAACCCCGAGATCAAGAGTCACAGGCTCCACTGACTGAACCAGCCAGGCACCCCAGGCCTCCAAAATTTCTGGTAAGAAATCTGCAAGTAATGTTATCGTATGTGATGACTTGCTTGTCTAATGCCCCTTTCAAGATCTGCTCTTTATCACTGGGAATTTTGATTATGTTTCCTGCTGTGTGTCTCTGAGTTCACCTTACTTGGAGTTCAGTGAGCTTTGTGCTTATTCATGTTCACAGCTTCCATCAAACTGAGGAAGTTTTCAACCAATATTTCTTCAAACACTCTGCCTCTTTCTCTTTGGTCCTTCTCAGACACCCATGATGCGTATGTTGGTCTGCTGGATGGTGTCCCAGAGGTCCCTTAGGGTCAGTTCCCTTTCCTTCAATGTTTTTCTTTCTGTTCCTCAGACTTGAGAATTTCCATTGTCATATCTTGAAGTTCATGACTTCTTTCTTCAGTCTGCTCAAATGTGCCTCTGACTCCCTCTTGTGAACTTTTCCTGTAGTTTCAATTTCAATTATGGTACTTTTCAGAATATTCTTTTGGTTTCTTTTTAGGCTATCTATCTCTTTACTGACATTTCCATTTTGCTCACACATCATTGTCATGAATTTCTCCATATCGACCCTCAGTTCTTTGAGCACCTCTGGAGATTTGTGTTTTATAAAGTCTTTGTCTAACGTATTTGCCACTGAGTCTTTTTTAGGGACAGATTGTTTTGGATTGTATTTTTTTGAACGGGCCACAGTTTTCCGTTTCTTTGTATTCCATGTGACTTTTCCTTGAACACTGCAAATTTGGACCTAATAATGTGGTATGTCTAGAAATAAGGTTCTCCCAACTTCCCCAAGGCTCACATGCCCTAATCGTTAATATCTGGCCCCCAAAAGTAAAAAAAAAAAAAAAAAAAAAAAAAGAAGTGAAAAATGAAGGGGAGAAAATAGGGCCCTGCCTCTTCAAGTCTCCTGGAAGTCACTTCATGTGGCAGGAGAGGGGCTTACCACAATGGTGGGAGGGGCCACCACAATGGCTGCTCATCTTTGTCTGCACATCTGTGATCAGAAGCAGCAATCAGAGCCCAGACTCCCCATTTTTAGAGGACAGGGTCCTCCTTACCCATCCTAGCATGTGCAATCTGTGCGCAAGCTGCTGGAACGCATGCAGAGCTACCTTCCATGCAGCTGGGGGTAGGCATGGGAGTTGCTATCGTTCCAAGAGTTGAAGTTGACTGAACTGACTAAAAGGAAGGCGATTTACCATTTCGGGCCTCCCCTAGTGGTTGCAAGCCTTCCACAGACTCCAAAATTGTTCCATCAGACAGATTCTGCCGGTGTAACTATCTAAGGGGAGACAGACTCCTGATGCTTCCTACTCCACCATCTTCCCAGTATCTTCTCCTAGTATTTTTTTTCAACTGTTTTTTATTTTTATTTTTTAAGATTTTATTTACTTGACAAAGATCACAAGTAGGCAGAGAGGCAAGTGGGGGGGGGGGAGCAGGCTCCCCGCTGAGCAGAGAGCCCAATGTGGGGCTCGATCCCAGGACCCCGAGACCATGACCTGAGCCAAAGGCAGAGGCCTTATCCCACTGAGCCACCCAGGTGCCCCTTTTCAATTGTTTTTTAGATGTAATTTTTTGCTTTTCAGTTAGACTCTTATCTATTTTACTGTGACAAAGCCAGTGGGCAGGTAATAAATATGCTGAGTGACCTCACAGGAGAAGAGCATTTAACACAGAGCCGGGCACACAGTGAGCAGTTGCTAAGTCTTAGGTATTACTGTTATTATGTCACCATATATGGTGCTATATTCTTCTGGGAGGAGTTAAGATGAAGAGAAGAAAGAGCAGCAGCAGCTCTGCCTGGGGAGAGCCACCTGATGTGCTGTGAAAGCAGACTCACCCTGAAGGTAGACTCATCTCTTGATACCCTCAATGCCTTCTGCTCTCTTAGGATTTGTGACTTCACCTTCCCCTGCTGCCTTACCATTTCTGCATTTCACAGTTTGGGTTGCAGCTGTGGTTGATGAATCGGGCCTCGTTCCCCATCCGGTAACTGTCGATCACCATCCCACTATCCAGGTTCAGGCAGTAGTGGTCACTGTGATTATGATACTGCTCGATCATCCTGTTCCTAAAGAGGAGAGGAAGATGTGAAAGTCAATTAATGATTAAGTTCAAAGTAAACTTGAAATCTTCCACTTTACACTCTAATCTGGTACCTTTGCCACTTTACTGCAGGATCATCATTCATCACTGTACCTGAACTCCTGCTCGCTGACAACCTCCCCCAGGTATTCGATGATGAACTGCCCGGCTTTCAGGGGTTCTTTGGTTCTTATTCCCCAACCTTTTTCCTCAGCTCGAAATCGTTCTAGACACTGCACCCACTCATGCCTCTGTATCCTCTGGTTACAGCACTGCTCACCACAGGGGCAAGTGTTGGGGGAACACTCGGCAAAGATCATTCTAGAAAGAAAAGAGATAATTGTATGCCAATTAATATTATATATGCCTTCATAAACCCATTTTTGTTTAACAGGAACTTTTAAAATACATTAAATTTTTATTTTATCAAGGTTGGATGGGTTAACAAGGTTCACAAGGGCGAAGAGTACACAACTTCAAAACTTAGTAATACTGAAAATTTCCAAGTGAAGTTATACTGAATATTACTGAATAATACTGAAAATTTCCAAGTGCTGAATACATTATTAAGCTAACTGCCCACTAAGCACCCTGGGTAAACACTATCCTATGTAACTCTGTGCTAAGAATAAAACTATAATAAAACTACAACCCACAGAGGAATTAATAATTTGAAGATTACATAGCATTCGTATTTTGAAGTAGCTGATGGGCATTTACAGATTTTTTTTCTTTTGAAATTGTGGTAAAATGACACATAAACTTTACACTATAAATATTTTTAAGTATACATTTTAGTACTTTTTTAAAAAAGATTTTATTTATTTGACAGAGATCACAAATAGGCAGAGGCAGGTGGTGGGGGGAAGCAGGCTCCCCAGTGAGCAGAGAGCCCGATGCGGGGCTTGATCCCAGGACCCTGAGATCATGACCTGAGCTGAAGGTAGAGGTTTTAATCCACTAAACCACCCAGACGTCCCTACTTTCTTAACTTTTTTTGAAGATTTTATTTATATGAGGGGTGCCTGGGTGTCTCTGTTGGTTAAGCAACTGCCTTCAGCTCAGGTCATGATCCTGGGGTCCTGAGATCGAGTCCTGCATCAGGCATGGTGCTCAGTGAGGAGCCTGCTTCTCCCTCTGCCTCCGCCACTCCCCCTGCTTGTGCTTTCTTTCTCTTTCTTGCTCTCTCAAAATATTAAAAATTTTATTTTATTTATTTGAGAGAGAGAGAGAGAGAGAGAGAGAGAGAGAACATGAGTAGAGGGCAGGAGGAGCAGAGGGAGCAGCAGACTCTCTGCTGAGCAGGGAGCCCGATGTGGGGCTCCATCTCAGAACCCTAGGATCGTGACCCGAGCTGAAGGCAGACACTTAGCCTAAGTAAGCCATCCAGGTGCCCCTGCACTGTTCTTGTTTTATAAGAATTTTACATTTCATGGGGGTACCTGCCTGGGTGGCTCAGTCATTAAGTGTCTGCCTTCAGCTCATGATCCCAGGGTCCTGGGATCAAGCCCCGCACTGGGCTCCCTGCTCGATGGGAAGTGGGCTTCTCCCTCTCCCACTCCCCCTGCTTGTGTTCCCTCTCTTGCTGTGTCTCTGTCAAATAAATAAATAAAATCTTAAAAAAAAAAAAAAAGAATTTTACATTTCATTAGTGTAAATGACATCTCCATACTGGAAACAACATTTCCAATCTCTGTACTAGCTGAACTTATAACCTCTAGAGAATTAACAAGCAAAATTCTCAATACAGTAGAGAAAAGTTGGTATGCACACGTCTTCTAACTGCTTTCTTTTTTTTTGTATTTCTCGATCTTTCAGAGAAGCCATTAAGTTTTGGTGTTTGGTTTAAAATCACAGTAAGGCTGCTGAACATGATTAAACAAAGGAGGTCAAGAATATAGTGGTAGATCAGAATATCACATTATAGTTTATATAACACACACACATCCATATCGTAACTTACAAATCTTCTTGAGAAAGCATTTAACATTTTATAATATAAAGTACTTTCATAGCCATTCTTCAAATAAACATTATCCTTTTCTAAAGGTCAGGAAACAGTGTCAAATCACATAAATGAGCAGTAAGCAGAGAAAACTCCTACCAGATTATTTAATTCAAGACACTAAGCTGAACTTGTGAGAAAGACACTACATTACTACCAAATTCACTACCTTTTTTCATTCTTTAAATGAATTCCTTGCTCAATGAATACGACTGAACACCAAACCTGAAAATGCTCTCCTCCTTCATCTTTTATGATAACGGATTTCCCACCTTTCCAATAATGAATTCTTCCTCTTCTTTTTTTTTTTTTTTTGGAAAAAACCCAGAAATCCTTTTTCCCTCTCTCCCTTCCATGGCACATTCCTGTTCCTCCCATCTTTAGAAGGCTCATTCGCAGAGGATGGGGGGCTGGGGAAACTGGGTGATGGACATGAAAGACGTAATGAGCACTGGGTGTCGCATGCGACCGACGAATCACTGAACTCTGTCTCTGAAACTAGTAAGACACCACATTTAATTAATTGGATTTAAATACAAAAAAAGAGAGGAAGGCTTGTTCATGCCCACAGTTTCAACTGTAACCCCTCTTGACAATACCCCACCTGAATTTTCATCATACCTTAAAACCCCAAAACAATAAGCTTTATGTGGATAAAAGAACTACAATGTAACAGAGTGCTGAGACGAAAGAGATTTTAAAAGAGAATTTAAAAAAATTTCTGCTGGAGAACACTCATTTAGAGGTTGTTGAAAATCTGTGGTTTCCATTGAAGGCACTGAAATATATTCCATTCGTTTCAATTATCAAGATAAGCCCTTGGGGGTGCCTGGGTGGCTCAGTCAGTTCAGCAGCTGCCTTAGCCCCAGGTCATGATCCCAGGGTCTTGGGATCGAGCCCCGCATCGGGCTCCCTCAAGGAGCCTGCTTCCCTCTCTCATCCCAATTTGTGTTCTCTCTTGCTATCTCTGTCTCTCTCAAACAAACAAACAAATAAAATCTTAAAAAAAAAAAAAAAAAAAAGATAAATAAGCCCTTTACGTAAAAAGTAGAACATATTCTAGTTATCGTGTCTGGAAAACAAAACTGCAAACGGATCACAGTGTGCGAGCACATGCTGCAGACCATGACTATGTAATCATGACTGATTACAGCACAAACTGCCGTTAACTTCGGCAGCGGCAGGCTCGAGCCCACTGAGCTAACCGGCCGGGTACTACAGTGCCGCTCACTTTAGCTACAGAATGCCGTTCACTGGAAGACGAGAGCATTCTCCTCCCAGATGCAGACCTAGATCAGAAAGCTCTTTTCCTCGCCTGGTGAGATTTAACGTTTAAGAGTCACTGGCAAGTGTACTAGTGAGACTGACTTAATAGCTATGGAGGTCAGACCATCTCCCGTGAGTAGAGACGGGTTTTCACAAGAAAAACAGTCCTACTAGAAATCGTGCCAGGTCAGGAAGGAGTGAGCCTTAGAGGCATGGGAGAGGACCCTCCCTACTTTTGGGGACCAAGAATTTGAAGGCCTCCTGCTCTTCTGTAGCAAAAGGTGAAGGGTCCTGGAGATGCTCCCTGTGGGGACAAGTGGAAGTAAACTGTACTCAGCAAAGGCGCTCACACAGGGCCCCCACGGGTTAGCCAGGGACCCTGACGTTCAGTCCGTGGCTTGTAAACTCAGGAGTCACTGCTTCCGGTGGCATTACAAGGCTTCCTGGGCAATACCCCTTTATCTCCCCTTAAGTATTTGGCTTTGTTATATAACATGTTTGTTGTTGTGAGCGCTGAGAGGGTGGGCTCTGTACGTGCTGTGAACAAATGGACACAGGGTTGAAAAGCTGCCTGAAATGAATTATGAGACTCTGCTCTAGGGAACGTGGAATGTTCTGGAGCAGTAATGGGTTCGATATGGATGGTGTACAGACAGAAGTATTAAGCAGGGAAGGTCTTATAGAATTTATAAACAACGCTGATGATTCCTAGGTGTTTAGAAGAGAGGAGGCCATGTTCTAAAAATATTTTATAAAAACCCATTACTTGTTTTTAAGACCATCCTGAATTTCAGTTTCCTTTGGGCTACATGAGCCTTACATAGACATAAAACTGAATCTTACAGAGCTTTGAGTTTTCCCTACAAATATTTACAATGCCTTGACTACTAAGACAGGAAGGACATTTCAGGTAGCTCCATTTAACTAAATTTTTATGTGGGTTACTTTTAAATATATATGGAAGCATCCACTGAATAATATATTTTCATTTTTCTTCGGTATTTGTGCATTTTTCCCCTCTTTCATTAGATGCATGAATATGCAGGGATGTAGGGTTCAGAGTCTCACAAAGTTGGCAGTACCGGATTTGACTTTTTTTTTTTTTTTTTTTTTTAAAAGAAAGGCAACACAGGGGCGCCTGGGTGGTTCCGTGGGTAAAGCCTCTGCCTTCAGCTCAGGTCATGGTCTCAGGGTCCTGGGATGGAGCCCCGCATTGGGCTCTCTGCTCAGTGGGGAGCCTGTTTCCCTCTCACTCTCTGCCTACTTGTGATTTCTGTCAAATAAATAAATAGAACTCTTTATATAAAAAATGACGTAAGATGACCAACGTAATTGTGGAAATGCAGACATTCAGATTTCAGCTTTATGTCGTTAAAAGACTAACGACTTACACAATAAGCAGTATATACAGTGGAAAGAACATGAGTTTTGAATCAAACACACGTGGGTTCAAATTCTGTTTGTCAGTTAAGTGCTGTATATAACATGGGCAACTTACTATCCAAACTCTAAAATCCTTCATTTATAAAATATAAAACTATTACCTATCTCATTAGACTACTGGGGAAAAGAGAAGAACTCACCAATGTGATGGCAGCTATATCATGGCAATTTCGCAGACAATACAATATCATATAAAAAACCAGTAATGTTAGCATAGAAAGGAATGCAAATTTAAGCAATTTTAAAGACATATGATAGTCCCAAACATTAAACCAATGAAATATTAAAGCACCAAAAATGAAGTTAGATATGACTGCCTAAAGGAGGTGAACTACATGGAAGTGAGTATATTCACATCACGGTGGCAATCCTGCAAATTAACGGACTAATTCATGAGAGCTACTGGGCATAGTAAGTATACAGTATATAGTCAGTACGATATACAGTAAGACTGACACAGATGTTCATGTAGTTATCCTCAGATAATTCTTCTCAGAATACACCTTAAGGGGTAAAAAAAAAAAAGAGGAAATCTATACAGTTTCACAGTAGCGCACTTTTTAATAGAAAACCTTGGGAATAACTGGAATGACGAGGCACAGGGGGACGGCGAACTGGGCATGTCAACCTACGGAAGGTAAGAGAACTAACAACGGTGAGCTTGTGGACCGCACCGATACACATAATACACATATACACATAAAAGTGTGTATATACATAAAAAGAGAAAAAAAGACCAAAAAAGAAAAAAAGCATACATATAAAATGTCTGTGAGTAAAGAACAATTAGCGCACAGCACAGACCAGGCCGGCAGCTGTGACCCTGCAACCGCGCGTGCGTGTGCAAGGCGTGACGAGCCGACGACGCGGTGAGCAGGACGCTCCAGCTGGCGCGCTGTTACAGGAGGTCTTAAAACATGGATGCCCGCAGCCCCCAGGACAGCCGACCAGACACTGGGGAAGCAGTCGTCTTTGGCCAGGAAAACTATCCAGAAGAGGAATTATTGATGTCAAGTTCACTGGTTCTTTTTTACTATAAATTTGCACATGTAACTAAACCCCATCAAACTAGATCTCCATTCTTGGGTCTCCATTCTTGGGTCTCCATCAGACATTTCCATTTTGAAATCTCCATGTCATTTAGAACTCAATGGCCCCAAAGTAAAATCATAGTTTTGATCGCCAAACTAGCCAGACCCCATACCTTCATTCTCTCGACAGCACGGACACCTTTCATCAGAGCCACCGGCCCAGTCAGCGCATGTGCACCTGTGTGCGTATGTGAGCGGCTCATCAGCCCGGTCTTCCCTCAGAGTACATCATGCCTTTCTTCCTCCTCACCGTCATCATCCTACCTTGCTCGCTGGTTATGGCTACCACGTACGGAGATCTAGGAAATTTTCTAAAATTTCCTGAATACTTTATGTCGTGGGCTGAATGCTTGTGTCTCCCCAGAATGAACAGCTGAAGCCCTAGCCCCCAGTGTAATGGTAATTTGGAGGCAGAGCCTTTGGGAGGGCAGCTGGCTTGTATGAGGGTGTGAGGAAGGGAACTGCACGAAGGAATTAGTGTCCCTACAGGAAGAGGAACGGAGAGCTCTTTCTCCACAAGCGTGTGCTCAGGAAAGGCCATGTGAACACACAAGGAGAAAGCGGCCGTCCGTAAGCCAGGACGTGGGTCCTCATCAGACATCAAATACTTGCATCTTGACCTTGGACTTCCCAGTCTCCAGGACTGTGAGAAATAAATTTCTGCTGTTTAAGCCACCAGGTCTATGGTACTTTGCCGAACCAGCCCAAGACACATCAATTAGGTTTTATATAGCTTTGTGCAACTTCAAGAGAGGAAATAAAAGAGCTTAACTTTTCCCTCCAAATGAAGTGTCATCTACCCTGAAGCCCGCGCTTTCAGAGAAGTCACTTCAGTACAGTACCTATTGAGGCAGTCGTCCACACAGCCCTTCCCGGTGTCATCCTCTGGCTTCTTACAGTTACAGGTGGTGGCCTCGTAACCAGAAAGGGGCTTGACATCAACGTAGACATCTTGAGAGAAGACAGCAAAGAGTAATTTGTGAACACAGAGGATAATTTTTTAAGTGCTAGGCTAAGAAGAACACCGATGATATGAAGGCAGAAAAAAATAGCTCTCAAGTTACTCACTTGAACGGATTTTTTTATATAGTGGGACATCTGGCTTTTTGTACAGCTAGAAGAAAAAAAAAAGAAAAATCTAGATATAGCATTTAACTTCAAATACCAGACAGCAGCATCAATCACTAAAAATATAAGAAATTATTCACTTGCTCTGCTCGTATGGGAATATTTATAAGAAAGATTTTCTGGGTTGGATACACTTGAGGGAAATTCTTGGTGCTTTCACTTTTTACCCTGAAATAAGAAGTGACTTACTGGATCAGGACAAGAGAAACAGATTCAACAAGAGAAGGAACGTGGAAGAGCTTCCCGGGAATATGTGCACGCTGTGGCCGGGCGCACACGCAAACCACCCTGCGGGGAAACGACCCTGCAGGACGAGGCTACTCTTTTGGATACATTAAGACTCAGTTTGCCTCTATGAAAAGAAAGGAAAACACTCAAAGGGCTTGTTGAGATGGTCTGGCTAGCACATGAAGTTAAAAAGATGAGTATCCTGGCCTTTTCAGTGTGGGTATTCCAGAAAAAGACTTTTCACATTTTAATTAAGGCAATTAATTTAGTGAATACAGGGGAGAGGGAAGGCAGGAAAGGAAGCTCTCATTGCAATGAAGAAGGCATTCAGAGAAAAAAAAAAAAAAAAAAGGAAAAAAGGAAGGTATTAGAACAGGGGTGATCAGCTGGCCAGTGTTGTCCAGTAAGAGGCAGGACGAACGAAGGCAGCACTGCGGTCTCAGTGAGGGTGTATTAACCTGCAAAAAACAGCTCAACTCCATTTCTCAGCAGGACCGTCAGAGCACTGTCTCCTTCACGGTCATGAGCTCGGAGACAGATATCTAACAAACTGATCCTCTTAGAATTCAAGAGAGGCCACCAAGAGAAGAGAATGCAGAGGGGAATGTCCTCTGCTTCTGGCTTTCCAAAATTAACTCTGGTGGAATTTTGGCAAAGGTCAGGAGCCTGTTCACCTCCTTTTTATGACAACTTCTATTTCCTGATGCCTGTTCTCAACATGAGGCCTGGGCCTACGGCTAACTACAAAAATTGCCAGGGGAAACTTTTCCATTAGGGAAGAAGCGGAGAAAAACAGCACCTTCCCATTTTTAGTTCCCAACATAAAGATCTTTTAAAAGTGTATGCATGTTAAACATTTTTCCTGTTTCCTTTGGTAGGAGAATCTCCTTTGTATGTGAAAAATAAATTCCAAACCGATGGGAAGGAGCCAACAAAAATAAAGCCTGACATTTCTTAGTGCTGCTGGCAGCGCATCTAAACCGTCCTGGGACGTACATCCAACAGGAACCTCACAGCACGGAGCTCTGCTACCACAGAGAAAGTGCAGACCAGAACAGAAGTTGCCCAGGAAAGCAGACACTCACTGCTATTCTGAAGTATGAGTAAAGGCAAAGAGGTCACATTAGATATGGATGCAAATTCATTTTTCTTCGTCTCTAACCTTCACAGGGACAGTCTCGATACTTCCTAAGATGAGAGCACAGAGCACAGAGCATAACACGGAGGCGGAGCGAGGCTTGCACTCCCTTCCACCCACCCCTGAGAAGGAAACCTGGGAGAGGAGGCAGGCCCTGTACCTGATTGTGCTTCCACTGCCAAAGGATGTCATAGGGGAGCTGGAAGTCAATTCTCTTTTGCCTCAGATACTTTCCTGAAACAAAGAAATACTATCAATTTCAGTATCTATTTATACAAAGGGTCAAACAGCCACAAGATCTAATACGCACTGACTAGAAAAATAAAGATTTAATTTTTAATTTTAGGAACTTTTCCATCACCAATTTTTAATTTTAGCTACTCTATTCCATTGTGCTCCAGGTGGTAAACGCTAAAGGGATGTTTTGATAGCAGCCTACATAAAACAACGAACACGGCAAACTTACTACCAAAAAATACACAGGTCATTATGAAGCCAACTAAAACTAAAAATTGTTGGAGTATTAAAATTATTAACTACAGCATCTGGCAGTGTTCTCCAACATTATTATACATACTATGAGACTGTCTGTAAAAACGGGAAGTATAAGATTTTCTAAAACAGGAGTCCCTGAATTTAAATAAATCAAGAGTATTTACATTCGGGGCACCTGGGTGGCTCAGTGGGTTAAAGCCTCTGCCTTTGGCTCAGGTCATGATCCCAGGGTCCTGGGATCGAGCCCCACATCGGGCTCTCTGCTCAGCAGGGAGCCTGCTTCCTCCTCTCTCTCTGCCTGCCTCTCTGCCTACTTGTGATCTCTCTGTCAAATAAATAAATAAAATTAAAAAAAAAAAAGAGTATTTACATTCAAATTTACAATGTTAACCCCCACCCCCAAGAAGTACTACTAGTAAAAGTCAAAAGCCCTTTTCTACCTTGAAGAGGACGCTTCAGTTTCCTTACTCTCTGACCCTTCTGCCCTTTAGTAAACTCGTTTCTCGCAGGAAGCTAAACTTCTTGTTACCTGGGTATTCACCCTGTCACCGACTGACTCTAGCCGAGCAGTTCTCAAAGCTCTGTGAATACGAGGGATCCAAGGGGCAAAGACTGTCTCACCACTACTAAGTACCATGCATCTACTGCTATACTGGTACCACTAAGGCGTTACACGCCATCTTCACTACGCTGACGTTTGTCCCAATGCTGTAAAAGCAATGGTGAGTAAGAACGCTGGCATCGTAGTAGGAATCAAGGCAAGCGGAACGCTGTACTAGAAGAATGGAACTAATGGACATGAACCATGCCAGTGTCTCAAAAATTAATGTGTTAAGTCTTGACCCACAAGCCAAAAATGCTGCTATTCTGCAAGGCGCCACGGAAGGATGCAGACAGCACCCGGGCCGCAGCCTGGGCGGCCGAGTCCAGCACGCGCCTGCGCACACGCGAGCTGGACAAGCTTCTTCCCGGGAATGTGCTCCGTGTCCGTGAAGGCACAACCGAGTGACTACGTTATTCGGACTTAGAGCGTGAGGACGAGCGAAGTGAGCTTGTTACTTCAAGAAACAACGGAACGTATCTGTCTCCAGTGATAAAACTGAGTTTGAAGTGAATACTGGAGATCTGGAAAACTTGTGTCCAACCACGAGAATCTTTAGTTTTCCAATCCTTCAACTCTCCTCATAAAGCGAGCGGGAGGACTGACAGATGCGAATGGTTCTGGACGCACACAGGGAATGGAAGAGCAACACAATTCAGGGAACCGGAATTTCTTAATGACCCACGTGAAGTGGTAAAATCACACCTGGGTAGAGAATCCATTTACATTCCAACAGAGACCAATGGACTTTAATGGAACAGAAAACAAAAAGTTAACCGATTTCATATTCTACGTTGCAACTCACCTCTAAGGAACTATTACATTTATATTTTGCTAGAGTGTCCAAGAAGAATTATCTGAATTATGAAAATACTCCTATCCTTTATAACTTATTTATTACCTACATGGAGACAGATTTCTTTATGTACTTAAGCCAAAGTAACATCATAAGAGACTGCAAAAATGGATGAGAAAATTCAGTTGACTTATATTAAATTAGACATCAATGAAATTTGCAAAAATAGAAAATAAAGTCACTTTCCGCATGGAATTTTTCTTTGGAAAAGTTATTTCTCATAAAAATATGCTATTTATGTTAACATATAATGTGTAATGAGTTTATCTGACAAATCTGAAGACACACGAGCATGGATTACAGGTATATTGCGGAAGAAGAAACTTGTGAGTCAGAGTAACACGAGACAAGGTCTGCGGCTGGTAGCAGCCCAGAGTCTCCTGCACAGGGAAGCAAAGCCGAACGCCTGACTGCAGAGTCGGCTGTGAGGAAGCGGAGACAACGCGAAGTCAAAGATCAGCAAACTCTGGTACGTTCACGTAAGAATACGCAACTGGAGAGATAAAATGAGGTACACATGTACTCAAATGGAAACATTCTCCAAGTTGCAAAAAAAGAAAAAATACGGGATGAACTCATTAAGAAAAAAACACTTTGAAACATTTAAGAGCTCTTCGTGGGGCGCCTCGGTGGCTTAGCTGGATGTGCGGTTGCAAGTCTCTCACTGGCCCCACGGGATCTTCCTGAGGTTCTCTACCTTCTCTCTGGCCCTCCCCATGCTCGTGCTCAATCTCTCTTTCAAACGGATAAATAAACCTTAAAATAAATAAATAAATAAATAAATAAATAAATAAATAAATAAATAAATAAATAAATAAATAAATAAATAAATTGGGGGCCTGGTGGCTCAGTTGGTTGGGCAGCCAACTCTTGGTTTTGGTTTAGGTCACGAACTTGGGGTCACGGATGGAGCCCTGCACCAGGCTCCACACTCAGCGGGAAGTCTGCTTGAGACTCCTTCTCCTTCCCCCTCTGCCCCTGAGACCTTGGTTCTGACATGAGTGCTGAAATATTTAGGGGAGGTGCATCATTGTCTGTGATTTACTGCGGCGTGCCCCCCAAACTCAGGTGGACTAACGGATGGATACATAAATCCAGGTCAAATGCTAATGACAAAATTTAGTGATGGGATACTGCACATTCACTATAGAGTGTTTTCAATTTTTTCTTATTGTTTAGTTTTTAAAGTTTTTTAAGTAGGCTCTACACCCGGCGTGGAGCCCAATCCAGGGCTTGCACCCAGGACCCTGAGATCAAGACCGGAGCCGGAGCCAAAAGTAGGCCACTGAACTGACTGAGCCACCCAGGTGCCCCAGAGGCCTCTGTCTACTGAAAAATTTTACAGTAAATTGTTGGAAGACAGATATTTATAAAGGAAAAAGTTTGAGAGGGTATATACTAAGTTATTATATCTCTGGTAGGGGAAGATTTATCTGTAATTCATGCCCTTCTCTACTACAACAATTGCTTTGCAAATATGTAGTGTTTCTTAACAATATAAATACAATTTTTTAAAAAGACAAAATTGATCCTCAGCAGATATGATAAGCCCCTTAATGTAAAGAATTGACTCTTTCTTTTTTTTTTTTTTGCCAGCAGTGTCTAATGTGTTTTCTGTAGAAGGTATAAAACAGTGAGGGAGAAGCCAGTAAGTTATAAATTTTTTTTGAAGATTTTACTTATTTATTTGGCAGAGATCACAAGTAGGCAGAGAGGCAGGCGGTGGTCGGGGGAAGCAGGCCACTTGCTGAGCAGAGAACCTGACACAGGGCTCCATCCCAGGACCCTGAGATCACGACCTGAGCTAACGGCAGAGGCTTTAACCCACTGAGCCACCCAGGCGCCCCCCGAAGTTATAATTTTTTAAATTATAACTTTATAATTTTTAAAGAATTTAAAGTTATATAAATTTTTAAAAAGATTTAAAGTTATAAATTTTTAAAAAGAATGCTTTCTCAATGGGGTACCTGGGTGGCTTGGTCGGTTAAGCGTCTGCCTTTGGCTCAGGTCAGATCCTAGGGTCTTGGGATTGAGCCCCACACTGGGCTTCCTGCTCCATGGGGAGTCTGCTTCTCACTCTCCTTCTGCCCCCCCAATCTCTCAAATAAAAGAATAAAAATCTTAAAAATTTAAAAAAAGAATACTTTCGGGGCGCCTGGGTGGCTCAGTGGGTTAAGCCTCTGCTTTCGGCTCAGGTTATGATCTTGGGGTCCTGGGATCGAGTCCCGCAGGGGCTCTCTGCTCAGCGGGAAGCCTGCTTCCCCCTCCCTCTCAGACTGTCTCTCTGCCTGCTTGTGATCTCTGTCTGTCAAATAAATAAATAAAATCCTAAAAAAAAAAAACAACTTTCTTGGGGTGTCTGGGTGGCTCAGTCGATTTAGCATCTGACTCTTGGTTTCTGCTCAGGTGACAGTCTCATGGGTCGTGACGTGGTGCCCCAATTTGGGAGTGGGAGTTGGCTTGGATACTCTTTCCCTCTGCCCCTTCCCCTGGTTTCTCTCTTTCTCTAAAATAAATTAATAGGGGCGCCTGGCTGGCTCAGTCAGTTGAGCTACTGCCTTCCGCTCAGGTCGTGATCCTGGAGTTGTGGGATCGAGCCCCACATCAGGCTCCCTGCTCAGCAGGGACTCTGCTTCTCCCTCTGCCCTTCCCCTCTCATGCTCTCTCATTCTCTCTCTCAAATAAATAAAATCTTAAAACGAAAATAAAAGAAAACTGAATTTGCGCAACGAAGTCATTTTAAAGAGGACAGACACTACGGAAGCTCAGGAGCCTGGGCTGACCTTGCAGTCTGAAAGGGGGAAGTCACAGAGATTTTCTGTCACGAAGTCACTCCCGACACAGGAGGAAGTGAAAGCGGACCCCGAGGCGGAACATCACACGCGCAGAACGCTGTGAGGGCGACCGGGCAAAGAGCAATGCGGAGGTGAGGGCAGTTCCCAACAGAAAGGAGAAAAATAACAAGTTCTAGAAGAGATCTTAAAATTTGACAAAAACTTGGCCTTTTCTTTTTTTTTAAAGATTTTATTTACTTATTCATCAGAGAGCGAGAGAGAGCACACAAGCAGGGGGAGCAGCGGGCAGAGGCAGAGGGAGACGCAGGCTTCCCGCCCAGCAGGGAGCCCAATGATGCAGGACTCGGACCCAGGACCCTGGGATCATGACCCGACTCGAGCCGAAGGCTTAACCGACTGAGCCACCCAGGCGTCCCTACTGGCTTTTTTTTCTTTCCTAAAACCAAGAATAAAGTGACTGACTTCAGCTACAGCTCACCGGGTTCAC